CTTTCTCCCGAAGAAGTCGAAATGATATCTGAATCTCTGTCTCTCTCCTTTCAAACCCCCCTCCTTCTCTTTATTTCTTTCTTGCTTCGTTGAAAACTGCTGGACCAAACATATGACTGCTATTGTATATATGTGCGAACTTGGTGCGACGCGCTTTGATTTCGAATCGTCTCGCGAGTAATGAGCTCTTTTTACGCGAAACGTACCATCCCTCAAGTTTCAAAAGATTAGATAATTCACTCTAAAATTGTATCAATGAATCGTTTAGCGAGAAGCGCACGTTTTACTTCAAACGCGTAGAAACTGAAATTTGCAGTTTTACTTGACTTGTTTATATATTCTTACGCGTATATAAGACGGGAAATTTTATAATGTTAGGATATTAAAACCGGATTCAATCTCTTCTCCACACAGCAAAAGCTCGAAAGATCAAAGTTATACTCGAAGTAATTTATATGCATAATGTCCCGAGAGAACCCAGCTTGCTTTTTAATGGAAATCAAGCTGAGCTAAGAAGAATGACACACACTTGTTCCAAAGTTCGAGACATCGATAGCATTAAGCGCGCGAGAAGAAGTTACAAAGTTAAATAACGTTGACAATATTTAATACGTGCAACTTTAAAATAATATTTAAATGTATGCAAACTTCAGAATTATCCTGACGCTTATAACATTAAAACCTAAAAATGGAATTAGAAAACGAACTTATCGCAAAATTTGCAACTAAACAGCGTGATTATGATAATTATCAGAATAATTAGCGGAATTAAAACAATTCCATTTATGTTCCCTCTCGAAATTTGGCTTCCGAGCGTGTTTTCAGGTTCAGGAAAAACATTGCGGAATAACGCGGAAATCTCTCTGGGAAGAGCTAATTCTATTAAAGTAATTGTATTCAAATAAAAAGACGCGCCCGGGTGAGAGAAAGATAAAAAGTCTTTCGTATCTACTTTGGCACCGACCCAAGAATTATTCTTCCTTTCTTCGCGTGTCGTATCTTTCGTTGCCGCGTGCGTGCGTGCGCGCGCCGAGAGAAATGTATGACTGGGAGCTCAAAGTTTCCGTATTCTAGTCACTGTGAAAGTAATTTTGTCCCCCTTCCTCCGCGAACGCGGAAACTTTAAGATTCCCCTCACTATGTAATTTAAAAAGAAGTAAAGAGAAACGGAGAAAATATCGGAATTCGGTAAGAGCGGCGTAATGGAGCAGACTTATTCGTCGCGTTTTCGTCTCCTGATCTCGCAAGACTCGCGCGTTTCGACATTGATCGCAACTCATCTATTGCCTTTTTTATCAATTTGACGTATACGTTGATTACTCAATCCTGTCTTTTTTTTCACTTTCCTTATTTTAAATTATTCTCTCGCGAATATATTGTGTCATCTTAGTTCCGATAAAATGAGACAACATGGATGTGAAAAAAACAACAGGTTTTGAATTATTTTGCTTAATATATAAATATAATGAAATTATTCTAGGAAGTGTTTTGAAATCGCGCACGTTTCCCGGTGCTTCCGTTTCTTTCCACTTACTCGTCCTCGAAATTTCAGACCCGTTCTTTCTTTAAGCGCGTTGGCGAACGAGTATTTGGGTGGCGCGCTCGCGAGAATCGCGCGACGACAATACCAAGACCAATTTGTTAAACTGACAAGATAAACGGCGTTCTCTCCTGGAACACGACGAGGATCGATTCCATTACACTAAACGAGACAAAATGCAAATGCGGAGAATGTGTCCTACGCGCGAGTCCGATTATTCATTTAATACGAAAGTGAAGAATGAAAGACGCCCCTCGTGAACACCGTTAGGAAAATTCATAAGCTCGTGAGTGTAGAAGAAGATAAAGACCTGGGCCCCGGAGACGGAAATGCGGATGCAAATGAAAATGCAGCTCTCTATTGGATCCGTCTTTTCGTTTCACACGTACATACATACGAGCGCATTGAATTCATCTCTTTTCCAAATGCACTTCATCCGAAAATTTTTATTATGTTCCTTTCTTTAATAGTCTGAATAAATATCTTGAATACGGTTTGTTCTCTCCTCTTCTCATTTTTCTGCTTCTTTAAAATGTCACATGTCACCGTTTATTTACACTTTTTTTATCGTAATTTCACGCTTCGACACTTGAATTTTAACATCAAAGTAAGTTTGCGCATATCGCGGTGAGATAAACTTTGCGTGCAAAGAATAAAATGTAAGTGTAACGTGAAGAACGCATTAATTAAGGCATAGAAGATACATTTCGAAGGCTAGAGGAAGGAAGAAAGAGAAAACACTGTGTTTTGCGCAATGTGGTCGCGTGCGAAAGTAACAATTCCGATGTAAATACATGGAAATGCGAGGAGGCGTGCATTTACAGCGCGAGGATAAACTTGATGTGACGTCGTGACGTTTTCCGTAATCCTGTCTATGTGCGCGTGTACGTGAGTCCTGCGGGAAATACACACGTGTGTAAATTCAATGATGAACGACCGCGCCCGAACACACCTGATCCCTCTTAACGATACTCGCAGGACGTCTTGTCCTTTTCCCTGCCGTCCGCTTCCCTCCGAGCATTTCATGGTCGGTGCAACGGCGAATATAGTTATAGTAGGATTAGTAAGCTTACATTGTACAATATGTTAATTAGAATACGCTCGATATAGCGCCGCTCTCTATATCGCGGAAAATTAATGGCGCACTTTAACTGTATTCAAATACATTTAAATATACTCAAAACTGCACATTTAAATAAAATAAAATATATATAAGTAAGAAAACATGGTTGATTTTTTTACAAAACAGAGCTCGAGATAACTTGCAAGCCAAAGAGGATTAAAAAGGATTTAGAGTTGGGACTTGAAAATTTATGATAAAATTGGAGAGTGAGAAAACCACTCACGGGAGCCGGAACTGCTCAAAAGGCAAAGTTACGCTAGACTACGTCGACGTTCCGTTAATTAACCGATGATATCCGTCAATTGACGTATATGCTGAAGCGCGTCGAAAACGAAGACGCTCGCGGTATCGTCGTTTAAAGAGCACGTCGTCATCAACGACGCGCGATGAATGGCCGCCCGTTAAGTCAACGGGCATGGTGTGGGCCAACGACCAGCCGCTTCCCGCGAGATAAAAGTACGTGCTGCGAGATAAGCACCGCGACGGATTCATCCTGCCCGAAGACGGACGTGTGGGTGCTGCACCGGAAGTAAAGCCCCTCTCTCCCATCCTTCCTCTTGCGGAATGCCAATCGGTACGACACTGACTCTCTCTCTCTCTCTCTCTCTCTCTCTCTCTTTCGCGAATAGCGAAATCTAAATTTAATTCTCTAATCTATTTTTTCGAGAGTATCCAAAATACATTTTGCGTAAAATGTGATTCAGTTTGTTCCGATGTGATAGGTATATGTATATTTCAATTAAATCAATATGATTTGATATACGGTCAAACCTCGATAACTCGAGCCTCTATAACTCGAAAACCTCTATACGAAAATTTTGTTCATTCCCTTCTGCTCCGCGGAAAGGAAAAAAGAATTTCGATAAGTCAAAACCTCTACAACTCGAAGATTTTAGCTCTTCCCTTGAGATTCGAATTATCAAGGTTCGACTGTATATTTTTTCTTTTTTTTTATTTACATATTGAGATAAAAAACATTTATGGTATACATTTAATGTATTAAAATAGTAATGTATGTACATATATATATATTTCTTTATAGAGAAATTTGATATATACATGAAATTCTTTATCTCGTACTCGCGCGTGAAATAAAATCCCGACTGCAGCGGTGCGCAAAAGTTGTGAGATATCAAACGACGGAGTGTTCAAAGTGCCGTTCGACAATAGGGGCAGAAGAAGGGAAGATAATAAATAGATCGGGCGAACCCGCCTTCGCGAAGAATGACGAATGGCGCTTGGAAAAAAAGCGTCGCTTGGGCGAGCGTATTAAATAAAGCAGACGGATAAAAACAATGATACAAAAGTATCAAAATGATTCACAAGCGCAAGCAGACACGACATGCCGGAAACCACTGATTGTTTCGAAGGGTGGTGAACTTTTGTCAAGGGTCAATCGCCTTTTTGTCAATTTGCGAGGCCCACTGCAGATTTTTACAGCGATAAAAAAAAAGTATCAGCGCGCGTTGAGGTTCGATTGTTTTTTTTTTTTTTTTTTAATGACATAATATAGAGTTCTCTAATATTTTGTACAAAATATATATAATAAAATATATACATTTTATAATATATATATATATATATATAATAACAAAACTTATTATTACGTTATTCACTCTATATTCTAATTCTTTTAACTACAAGCTCGAATGTGTATACATGTATATATTACGCTTATTATAAAATGCAATGTATAAAATTAAACAAATAAATGAATAATGAAATGATATTTTATTCGAAAAGCGGTGGAAACTGTAAATGTTAAGTTCTGCTCTGATGATTTTACGAGGAAATTGATATTGTTAAAATTGCACAATATAAAGCCTTGCAGTATCAATATTTGACAATAGACGATATTATCTGCGATCACAGATTTATATGTTAATACGTACATAGAACTGCAGATAAACTGGTATTGGATTTAATGCGCGGAATTATCAAAATGCAATCTGTTTTACTCGCGGAAAACGCAGTGCAGCTCGCGAAAAAGGCAATTTAGCAATAAATCGAGAATTATAGGACCATAAAAGTCACAAACAACGATCGTAAGTTACGGCTCGTAAAACTGGCATTAATGTGTCATAATTTAGTAAACGACCTCAGAGCTTAAAGAAAAAAGATAGTTCAAGATAGAAATTTCCGCGTTTTATATATTTTAACATATAAATTTTGCCTGAAGCAAATGAAATTTGTCTCTTTTGATTTTTAATCAGAGCATTTACTTTTCAAAAAGTGTTACTTAACAAACACTATTATTTGTCTGATATCAACAATAAAAATACTGTATCAGTTACTCAAACTCCCGCACTTCTGACAATTACTTGAAAACAACGTTACCTTCGAATTGGCCGAGGAATCTTCATCTCCGTGTGTGTTTAATGCAGGGGATAAGGTAACTCAGAATTTCCGACTTGTCATTTATCATGTTTTGCGGGACACTTTCGAAACTCGCGATCGCGCTTTCACGCACGTTTCGTCTTGTGACAAGAGAATCGTAATGGCGGGTGTTCCCGTGACCTGTTCAAACTTCATTACGGTGCGTCAACGCAACGATCCTCGTCGCATTCGTGACGAAGGAAGTTAAGCGAAACATTGTAATTCGACGCGGCAATTCATGAGAAGCTCCCGCAATGAAACAATTTACGAAACAAAACGCGATGCGAACACGAATGTCGGATACTTTTGCGAACTGCGCGCGACTCGAGTTGCGGCGATCCGCGCGCAAGAAAACGCATTCGCGCACGCGCGTAGAGTCGTTCCATATGCGAAGTATAGGCGATGGCGCCTCACGTTTCGAAATCGCTGCAACAGTGCGAGATCGAATTCTATAATCGGAATTTTTTTTCTAAATAACAAAATAAACGAAAAAATGTAAATGACTCTTATTTTATAGTTGTTCTTTATTTTTTACTGTGTGTGTGTGTGTGTTCTTCAATATAAAAATTATTACTGTTTTTGAAAGTAGTTTCGATATCGAAATTCATTCACTCTAATTAGCGCCATTGTGATACCGCAATGTGCAAAAAATTGTACAGAACTTTGAAATACAGAAACAATTGATACGACAAATGTACTAACAATATTAGTTATGACGTAAGCAGGCGCACGCGCGTATGAGAGATATGTAAAAGAGAGAAGCAAACAATTATATTAATTAGAAAATTACGTTAGTAATGTGAAATTGTGAAGTGCTGCGTGCATATCGGCCGCCGAACGTGAATTGAGCGCATTTGAACAAAAAGCAGTCGATAAAGAAAGTCTCGCATTCGTCGATAATGGTACGAGAAGCGCAAACTTAGAAAAAACATTGCAGATTTAAATTTCATAAAATTCTTTACTACTACTAGTTTTTTTCCGTATCATAAGATGCTTTGATATACACAAATATAATAAAAATATGTAAATATAAATAAGATCGAGAAAAAGAAGTTTAAAAGTCTCAAAATAAATAAGTAAAGAATAAAACAATAAATAATATATCGAATATATTGTTTTATGAAGCACAAAATAAATTATCTTAATTATACTGTTATCTGAAGTTTTTTGATACTGAATTTTTAGTGAAAAACGTATTTAAAAAAATATTATAAAAATATATGTTTTATAACCAATCTTTTCTATATTTCTAAAACAATTAAAATAAACATAAGAGTATATTATTTTTAAATTCTTAAACTTTATTACTACAATATGTTAGAAAATAAAAATGTTATTTAATAATCTAATACACACAGTACTTAAATCTATGTAAATATTTTGGTAAATAAATAAATTTGGCAAAGAAATAATTTGTTGAGTGAAATATATATTGCATTATACAGGGTGTTTCAGAACTATGGGATCAAACTTCTAGGGGTTATTCAGTGCAACAGTAGAAAACATTTGAGTATAGGGACCCATGTCCGGAAAAGTGTCACTACCGCACTACGGCCCTAAGACGCGTTAAAATTTAGAAAGACGATGAATTG